TTGTACAAATGTTTTCACTGTTAAAAAGTACATGAATATATAAAAGTTTCATTCTATCCAGCCTGTTGTTATTTTTATGATTTTATTTTAAATGATATAGCTCTTACATGTCTTTGGACAAAAGTAATTGAAATGTAATTAATTACATTGACAATGTAATTGTAATGTAATTAATTACATTTGAAAATCAATGTAATTGTAATGTAATTAATTACATTTGAAAATCAATGTAATTGTAATGTTAATTACATTTAAAAATCAATGTAATTGAAATATAATTAATTACATTGTACTTTGGCATGTAATTGACCCCAGGTCTGCAATACATCTACATGTATCAGATACACCTTGAGGGTGTTAGCCCAAATGGGTGTATCTAATTTACACCAAGATATTATTGTAAATGCAGAATGATAGTTTTCAATTATGTAGGAAGACTGTCTTTCAGCGATTTTGACCATATAATATTGAAAAGTATGATATATGCAGTACATATATCTCCTAAGTTGTGAATATCTGAGCTGTTGATGTACCATGGAAAATTAAAGATGTCATACAGTCAAAGGTCAAATTTAAAATAAACATTTGCTTCATGAAAACATGCATTCACAGTTTAATTCAGTTGGACTAAATGCCCTATATAGAATTCGAAGGCAGTGTGTATCTGTCTGCAATCTGTTTTATCTATCTGCATAAAACAGCTGTGATGATATAGACAGCTTCCTTACAAAAACACGATTTTTTTCTCTCTGTCATTTCACAATAAAACATGGAATCTGATCTTTCAGCCTGATATCAATCTAGAGTGGTAAAATTGTGTGATGATGTTGATCCATGTTAAAATCTGATCTGTAATCTCAAGTTTCAAAGTAAGGATAATGTTGGTCTAGGTCATTACTGAATTTCATGATACTCACTGTATTATCACATGCAGGTAAAAACAAGGTGTAAATATTCTTAAAAATTAGTTTTTACATGTATACTATATTTTGTATGGCTGCAACTTGTGCAAGAAATGTTTTTTCCTATTCAGTCTACCTTATATACATGTACATGTATATTCAAGCCATAAACATATTAAAGCATCAAAATGGCTTTTGATGTTTCAAATAATGTTCCAAAAAATTTACAAAAATGTGTTAAAACATTATTTTTTCAAGACATGATAAATAATCTAATTGTACTTCCATTCTAAAACCATTAAATTGAAAACAAAACTGTTATCTGACACAAAGTTAGGCCAGTGTGTTCTAAAGCAGCAATTGAAACCCAAACAATTTAGAAGGTACAAAGTGTTATTTAACACAGCGTATAGTGTTGGGGAAAAGGGGCAGCCTTTCTTGTATAAATTCAGAAAAAAATTTAGGTTAACCCTTTCGCCAACAAATCCCGGTTTTTACCGGGATTCACGCTTCAGACAGCTGACGATGAGTCCCGGATTACCGCGATCGGAATACCTCTTTTACATTTCCCGCTAAAAACATTGGAAACACAAAGTTATCTTTCTTTGTTGAATACCCGGATGAAATGGTAAACATGGCGCTTCCGTTTGTTGAAAACCGTGTCAAAATCAGATGAAATTTACGGATTTTACTAGACTTTGAAATAAGGAAACATTTTTTTGGAAAGATTATGGAAGAATTGAAGCCAGACTAGTATACTTTTTTGACATAAAATGCCGTTTTATGTACAAAAACACTTGGAATGGACATCGTTTGGTGTAAGGAATTTGTACAATCTTGTTGAATTTTTCAAACTTTTACCTTTTTGGGTTAAAAAATTACGATTTTGGGTCAAAAAGTTGAATTTCATGAATTTCATCTCTCTAATGCCGAAAATTTGCAAATTTTATTTTTTATGAAAAAAAAAATAATTAAAACATTAACAAAACTGTGTCCATGGTGTAAGTGAATAATATGAAGACATAAATAACTACAGACAAGTTTTTATTGATATTTAATATAAAGATCTCCCAGGGAAGCCATCGTCTCAGAGTAGCTTCTGTCAGGCCGGCTATCGGTGAATGGGTTAATGTAGTGAGATATGATGAGTGCTTTGGAATGGTGAGCATTTTTTGATTTTTTGTCAATCGAATTTTCAATAAAAATTGGACCTTCAAAGAACTAAGGAGGACCTTTAAGTACATTTTTTGTATATCTGGTCAAAGGTCCTGGACCTTAAGCTTCCATTGCCTAAAGTAATTAAACCCCTGTTGTATTGTACATGTGTTAATAGACATTGCATGTAGTCATGCTGAAGGTCTATATGAGCATTTCCTTATATTCTATTAGATGGAGACTGGAGTTGGATGTATGGTGCTTAATTATATAATTACATGTAATTAAATAGTAGACTTTATTTAGTCTGAATATTTGAAATATTTAGAATGATGCAACTGACTTTTCAAAGGTACAAGGAAACTAGGTGAAAATGGTCTGTGGAAGTTTGATAAAAAAAAAAAAACATTTTGTTTATTTCCCGAATTTTTGTTTTGTACAAAAGGAGGGCTTGAATGTGAATTGACCATTGTTCAAAACATTCCATGAAGCTTATTTTCCTTGTTGAATACCTTTAGATTCACATAAACGTTGTTATCCAGTACTATTATAGCTTATCATAAAGTACAAAATAAAATGAAGTATGGGTTTTGTTCATTGCTGAATGTTGTAAACTGGTCTGTAGTTACTTGCATGTTTATTCTTTTCCTTTGGTCTTTTGGTGGAAATTTGTCTCATTGGCAATCTTACCACTTCTCCTTATTTCTATATATATGTACACTTCAATAAATCTTCAACTCATCTGTCAATGCTGTTGCAGATGGACTATCATTATGCATACATGTAGAAGCAATCTCAATGAAAACATGGCATACATATCCTGAATTGTTTTCCTCAAAAGTAAATAGACTCAAATAATAATGGTTTCAATAAAACAAAAAGTCTTGGCAGAGAGAAAACCAATCACATACATTGTCATTACATTTTGAATAGACAACACTTATTACTGGCAATTGTGGATTGTAAGTGTCAAACTTATATTTCATAAAACCCAGTGTAATACACATGCAATTAATAAGGTTAAGAGTTTAGGATAAAAATTACCTTTTCTATGCTTAATAATATAATTAGGCTCTACTTTAGTCTCTCAAGATAACAATGCTGAACTCAATCATGAAAACAAAACTGTTTTCACTATTATACATGACTCATATTTCTACTAAGACTGCAGTCAGATTTTTGCAAAAGTAACCCAAAAAATCTTTTGAACAAATTTAAGTTTCCCCCTAGGACTTTTTTGAAGGATGTGTATGACTGAGAGGGTGGTGGTCATGAATTTGATGGATGGGGGCCTATATACATTTATATTATAATGCAGAGTTGTGAGAATTTAAAATTTAAAGGAATGGTGCCTAAATTAATGCATGGGAAATCACCATGAACATGTAACTTAAGGTGACCTATAATTGCTAACTTCTATATCATTTGGTCTCTGGTGAAAAGTCCTCTCTTTGGCAATCATACCATGGCAATCATACCATATCTTCTTTTTCATATTGACTCTCTACGAAAAACACTGTTGGAACAGTTGAAAAGTTCTGTGCTTATTTCATGTAAATCTTATTCATTTAGTGTAACACAACTGACATCTTATTTTTTTGTAAAAAATTTGTCATTGTTTACATCGATCCTTGCCCTTTTATTAATTGACTATTGGTGTTTCACCACTTTCAGCACTCTTGGCTATATTGTGGCAGCCAGTTTTATAGGTGGTGGAAGCACCACTGTTTACACTGCTTTTTGGAAGGGTTTGTGTTGCTCAATGATCAATCTTTCTTAAATATATATGTGTGTACATGAAGTATATGTATAGCATAACCTTTACTGTGTGTCATTTTGTATTTTGTATTTTGGCTATGTTGTTGGCAGTTCTTTTTCAACTTGTAAATTTTTATTTTCTAGGTCTTCTTTTGGCACTTAGAATTCATGGTATTTATCTACATGTAATCTTTCCATCTTTTCCAAAGTCTAGTATTACATTTTTTGTACTATCTTTATACACTTTGAGTCCAGTCTTTGAGGATTGCAAGTTTTGTATAAGACCAGATGTAAAATTTAGATTTATCCGTAAACATTAAAATTTAAACCTAATAAAATGCTGGCCAAAATGCATTTTAAATGATGCTATATAAACTTTTATCATGTTTATTACTTTCATTGTATAGAAATATTTGTGTTTAATTATATACAATGTAATTACTATAAATATATATTGAATAAATAAATAAAATGTTTTATCAAGCATGTGTGACCAATTATGGATAGACAGTTAATCCTTTTATGGAGAATCTAATCATGTACACCATCAGGTGTATCAACAATTGGATTTAAACCAATTAATGCAGAAATAACAGCAGGTGTATGTTTATATAAATCTATAATCCAATTAACTAAAAATAGTAAATTTGGCTCTTTGATTTTCTCAAAAATTGTTGAAAGATACATGCAAATATTTTTAGAAAATATGCACAAAATACATATGCATGTGTTTCAATATCTATACTGAAGATACTAATTAAGATCTCCATTTAATACAGACATAGAAAATATCATGAAATTTTGAATAAAAGCACATACAATTATTCATAATTAAAAAAAAAATTTAGAAACAAGTTTCATTTACTCTATAATCATGATAATTTCTGTTTTGAATATATAAATATTTGATATCATATATGAAATAATATTTGATTATTAATATTAAACTTTCATGATTTTTCAATTATCAAATCTATGACTTAAAAAATGTAAAATTAAGTCTTTATCTCCAGACTACACATTTTCCTTAATATCTTATAGTAAAAATTTTATGAATGAAATGTCCCAAGCCTGGGTTAATGTATACAAAATGGCTGTTTTGAATCTATTCTTGTAAAAGATGATGTCAGTTTTTAATACATAATAATGTATTTAAATGAAATGGGCGTGACTTGAATGTTTTACCTGAGGGGTAGTGGAATTAAGTTGGTTTTGGAGAGCATCTCTCTCCCTCTCAACATCTTGAAGTTTGGCTTGGGTTAACGACAAAGTATCTTTAGTTTCTCTCAAATTTTCCATCAACTTATCTCGCTCATCCAGCATGTTTACCATCAAGTGTTCGAAGTTCGCATCATCACCCGAACATTGCGACTCGCCATCGTTCGAACCGTCCTCTGAAATCGTCGGCATAACATCACAACTCATTTTGAATTTTTTCCTGTTATTTAATCCAAATCAAAAGTGACATTCATAAAACAAATATCGGTTTTTCTACCGGTGATGTCAATAGCATCCCGGGTTACTTACGATCCTCGAATTTAGTTAGTGGTCTATAAAATTATCACTACATATTTTCACTGTAATTTACGGTCCAAACAACAGAATGATGTTTTCTTTTCGCCTCGTATGACAAGAATTACATGCATATTTACTTGTCATGTCTAAATGTTTTGATTTTTAAATGACCCATCACATCTTATTTAGAAGCCATATTTCTTTTTCTAAAAGTGTGTCATTACCCACAATTCATTGGAATAAGTCATCGCAAGGGAAGTAATTCTAACTACTTTTTCCAAATAGGCCAAAATAAAAATGTATTTGGTTAATTTATAAATCTAATAACAATGCAAGAGTCAGGGAAATTAATAACAAAATCATAAGTCGAAGAAAATCAGACAATGCAATGACCAGTGCAAAAACAATTTTAGAGGCTCATAAGTTTGTTTGCTTATTTGTAATTTTATTTAGTTACTTTTTTTGTTTGTATCTCTTCTATTTATGGTAATTTTTACTGTTCACCGTTCCTACCTATTTATCAAACTTATTGACAAACTAATACAAAAATTGGTAAAAAATCGTCATTTATTGCTGGGAATAGTTACTGTATATAAATATGTCCCAGTTTAAGGGTTTAAAAAATTACCCCTCAAATTGCAAAAATGGTACTAATTTTTACCAGGCGATTTTCAGCCATATTGACTTATTTTAGATCTTCTTGTGCTAAACATGTTTTTTCTCTATTTATTCCGGTTTCTATAGAGTATTCAAAAAGAAAAAAACATCATCTTTCAATGACAATAACTCTAATAAGGGGTCAATTGACAATCAAGTTTCAGCCATTTGCAGATCTTATTTCTGGAAATTTTTGCTGCTTACACGTTATCTTTATCTACATGTATAATAGATCTGCAAAAAATGTATAATAGGTCAAAATCGTCTTTCAAAGAAAATAACTCTTATAAGCCACCAATTGACGATTGTTGATTTATTTGTAGACCGTATTGTTCTGGTCATTTTCGCCTCTAAATGAAATAAACAAATCAAAATGTCGTGCGATCAAAGCGCTTTACATAACAGCACTTGTACCAGATTAAATAAACCCTATATATATATAAAAAAAAAGGAGATGTGGTATGATAGCCAATGAGACAACGATCCACACAAGTTCAAATGAAGTGGATGTAAGCAATTATAGGCAACCGTACGGCCTTCAACAATGAGAAAAACTCATACCGTATAGTCGGCTATAAAAGGCCCCGACAAGAAAAATATGAAACAATTCAATCGAGAAAACTAACGGCCTAATTTATAACATAACAATTTACGAAAAACAAGAATGACAGACATGAACCAACGACAACCACTGAACTACAGGCTCCTGACTCGGGACAGGTACATAAATAATGTGGCGGGGTGAAACATGTTTGTGAGCACTCAACCCTCCCCTAACCTGGGACAGTGGTGTTACAGCACAACATAAGAACAAACTATAAAAATCAGTTGAAAATGGCTTAACTCATTAGATCTATACGCAGAAAAACATCTAACAAAAACACAGACCGGACGTGGCAGAGTATTTATACATACCTAACAACAAAAAAGACACAAAGTACAGATCTGAGAGTATTCGCAGTTACTGACAGCTAGTTCAAAGCCAATAACAACTAATAAAAGAAATCATATATCTAAGACTAATATATCAATCAGTACACATCCAATATCCAATGGATTTAGTGTAAAGACGTCATTAACAGTCAGAGAAAAATATGACCTTGTGCAATGGAATACTTAAAGAATTATGATCTGAATAAGCACCTATTGTTAGTCACTGTTTTCAGTAATGCATCATACCTGATGAATAGACAACAGGAAACATCTGTCCAATGCATCTTACCTGATGAATAGACAACAGGAAACATCTGTCCAATGCATCATACCTGATGAATAGACAACAGGAAACATCTGTCCAATGCATCATGCCTGATGAATAGACAACAGGAAACATCTGTCCACTTCAGATGCAGATCCAGGATTTTGAAAAGGGGAGCCTGGCAAGCCACCGTTTAGAGTGATACTTGTAAAAAGTCTACGCATTTAACATAAAGGGGCCCGGGCCCCCTGTCCCCCCTAAATCCGCCTCTGCACTTTTTAAGAAGGCTGACCGCTTGATACCAACAATTTACCGTCCGCATCTGTGTAAGATGTTAGAACATAATCAGAGTGTGTCTTTTATATCAATATAACACCATCACTGAGAAACACCCCGCTTTTCGTAAATACAACAGTCGCGAAACACAATTTTGTACTGTAATCAACGATTGGACCGAAATTATCGACAAAGTCCATCCAACAAATGTATTCATACTATACATTTCGAAAAGGCCTTCGAAGCAGTCCCGCGCGAATTACTTAAATTCAAATTAAATAGTTACGAAATATCTGGTTAAACACTATGTTGGATTAACTCATTCTTATGCTACCACTGGCAACGTGTCGTGGCAAATGGAACAGAATCATACGGGTCTGTACACGAATAGTTGTACCAGAAGATACTGTCATAGGTACGTTGTTTTGAAGTCTACATATCAATGCAATTTTGGAAAATATATACTCTGAAATCCGACAATTTGCAAGCGATTGTTTTGTTACAGAGTTATCGATATCATCAAAGTGAGTTTAAAACTACAAAACAGTATTGACAAGCTTGGAGCTAGGGCCAGAAGATAGGGTATGAGATTCCGTAAGACCTATATATACTGGGATGTGCAGGAACAGGTTTGGATCCCAGCTTCAGTCCATTCTTAGATAACGAACCACAAAAGGTACAATAACGAGCAGCTAGATAAACAAAAAATAACTACTCCTAGAAGACTCCATGACCTAGATATTAAAAGACCTTAACTGGAAGTCACTAAAAGAAGAAAAAACAGAAAAATATTGTTGCGGAAAGGACTAAATGATAAAACCAACATGCCAACAACATACATTTTTTCGAACACTGTAGGAACAATCGTTACAGACACACACAACTAATTCTACATACCACACGATAGGACATGTAGATTCATATATATATATATATATATATAATTCGTCTAGATAACAGCCCAACAATGTTAGATCTGTAAATTTGCGGAAGCACTTTTTTTGTTCTTCCCTGGCCGGGATTCGAACTCATGCTACTGAGATATCGTGGAACCACATCGCCTTGCACTATGCCCGACGCGCTTGACCACTCGACCACCTAGGCTATATATAATAAAGCTTTCGGTGGCCGGGTGTTACCTTTCCTCGTCAGTTTTCATCTAGCGTCGTAACACAGTACATGATATATAAGGCATGAAGACATGAAGATATATATATATATATGATTCGTCTAAATAACAGCCCAACAATGTTAGATCTGTAAATTTTTTGTTCTTCCCTGGCCGGGATTCGAACTCATGCTACTGAGATATCGTGGCACCAAATCGCCTTGCACTATGCCCGACGCGCTAGACCACTCGACCACCTAGGCTCGACAAAAATCAAGCTTTCGGTGGCCAGGTGTTACCTTTGCTCGTCAGTTTTTTTATCTAGCGTCGTAACACAGTACATAATATATAAGGCATGAAGATGGAATATTACAGATCAGCTGAATTATCTATCGTAGAGGATCTTACAAATTAATGTAGGATGCAGTCACAGAAATAATTATATTATAAGTACGTCTGAACCAGTGACAACTCTACGACATTTTATCCATCGGATCACCAGTGATGGTGATACAAGGCTGAAAACACATTCTGTATACACAATTCGTCTAAATAACAGCCCAACAATGTTAAATCTGTTTTTTATATATATATACAGCTTCATCACTAGCACCATCAGAGATTGGAAAATTTTTGACTCACTATTTTTTTTTAAATTCTACACCATCCATCAAACGACAGTTCCTCAGCACTCACTAATCTCATCAGAACCCAAAGCTACGACAAAATTTGCATACTTGACACATGCACGTTGCATAAATGTCATTAGATCTAGCACATATATTTGATCATATTTCATGTAAACTGGTCACGGAATACATTCGGTGATAAATCGCATTTGGTGATGTCGATCAAAATCGAGATAAAAGGATATTTTGGCTGTATGTTTTCCCTTTGGCAATTGGGACGTCTGACGTTTTGGGTTTTGATTGACACTTCTCTTCCCCCTCAGTTTTCACTTTTTTCCAATCATAACCGGCACAGCTCTACTTCCAAACAACGGATTCATGCAAGGTAGAAAACCTCAACAATGACATAAAGAGAGTAGACACAGGATATAATACAAGATGTAACAAGAGTGCACACGCTGAAATGTCTCGCCTACTTTACTGACCATTGATTTTATGATGAAAGTTTTAAAGGTAAAAGTTTTACTAAAAGTATCACATAAACTTAACATTCTTTAAAGATCTATGACAATGAGGTTAAGGTCAGATAAATCCTGTCAGACAGACATGTACACTTTACAATTATTCCATACACCAAATATAGCTGACCTATTGATATTAGTTTTCGAAAAACAGACCAAACGTGACACAAAAACTTGACATTGACCAATGAACCATGAAAATGAAGTCAAGGTCAGATGAAACCTGCCAGACAGACATGTACCCCTTACAATTATTCCATACACAAAAAAAAATCTGGCCTATTGCTATTAGTATTTGAAAAACAGACCAAAACACAAAAACTTAACATTGACCAATGAACCAGGAAATGAGGTCAAGGTCATATTATACCTGCCAGACAGACATGTATACCTTACAATTATTCCATACACCAAATATAGCTGACCTATTGCTATTAGTATTTGAAAAATAACAGTCCAAAACACAAAAACTCAACATTGACCAATGAACCATGAAAATAAGGTCAAGGTCATATTAGACCTGCCAGACAGACATATATACCTTACAATTATTCCATACACCAAATATAGCTGACCTATTGCTATTAGTATTTGAAACACAGACCAAAACACAAAAACTTAACATTGACCAATACACCAGGAAATGAGGTCAAGGTCAGATTATACCTGTTAGACAGACATGCACACCTTACAATTATTCCATACACCAAATATAGCTGACCTATTGCTATTAGTATTTGAAAAACAGACCAAAAACACAAAAACTTAACATTGACCAATTAACCATGAAAATGAGGTCAAGGTCAGATGAAACCTGCCAGACTGACATGTACCCCTTA